ATTGGGGAATTGAAAAATATGGGCACCTAAAAATATTTTATGAAAGAACTCGACCCAAATTCCACTTTGGAATTCGAGTCGAACCCTGCGTGTCCGACACCTGGCGGTTGCCGGACAAAAATGACCAAAATGCCCTTCTCACTAGAAACCAGTTTATCTATTAGGTAGACTTCTACCGAAAATTCGGCAGAGTCTCCTCTGTAATCTGTTCGTTTCACCAAAACTTCCACCTGTCAAAAAAGCATATACATATGTAACCCAACTGCCAGCATGTATCGAACTATGTCCAGGAATCAAACATCATATAATTCTGGCCTTAGGCCTCAACCAATCTAATAAATCATCTTGTTAGTAAAGTTCATTTCAACCTTTAGAATACCAACGGTATATTAGTAATCTCAAGGACTCCAACTCGTGGCTGCACCTTGTAACATCAGGCTGCCTATGTAACACCCCGACCCCAAATTTATCCCATGTTTTAATTTATTTAAGTGGAATTGAGAAATTATCGGTGGGATAGGGGTATTTTAGTCATTTTCTTATTCGGAAGGAATTTGGGAATTCCGGTTGTACCGTTGCGTAGAGCACGGTGAGATGAGTCCGTAGACACGTAGTGGGCTTGAATCGGAGTTGTAACGAGAGAGATATGATCAAATGAAGCTCAGTGGCATAATTGTAAATATTTGGAAAATGGATTTTTGGTTAAAAGACGGAATTGCCCCCGTCTCTCTCTCTCTCTCTCTCTCTCTCTCTCTCTCTCGGGGCCGGGCCCGGTCCCAAAATGACCGGCCTGACTCCGCCGTCCTACCTCACCCGTTCTCCGACGTCAGCCGGCAGCGATACCGCAGGAAATTGCAGAAAAACGGCCGGTTTTTACCCAGATTTTTCGGAGCTCGTTCGGCGATTCCGGCCACCAAATCTTGCGATCAAGGTATGCTTTCTCATCTATTTTCCGAGCTCTAGCTGCCTGTTGGGTAGGAATTGGTCAATTTGTAGCGTAGGCAACCCGATTTACGAATTGGGTTTTGGCCGGATTTCGAGGGGAGATTCCGGCCACCTCCGGTCAATTTTTGGGGTATGTCCAAGAACAAAAGTGACTCCAAATTAGGTGTATTACCTAAGGTAGGAGTCTTGGCTCACGATTTGGAAGTTTTCCGGCGATGCGATATCGCTTTAGACACCCACGCGCTGCCGGCGCGTGTGGCGGCGCGTGGGCACTGTAGCTGAGGGGCATTTTTGTCCAAATGTGATCCTCTCGATGTCACGAGCGCGTAGGTGTGCTCGGATCTCATTTTGGATACCATTAGAGTTTCGAACGGATATCGCATATTGCGTATTTTTTGAGTTCGCTAGGTTTGGACCGTTGGATGGTCCTGAAGTTATAATATGTTGATCTAGGTATTACCAAGATCATCTAGGATTTGATGGATCGTAAAATGGAGTCCCGGATACTCCAGAAATACCAACCCTAGGGTTAGGGTTTTAGTGACCGTTTGATCGTGCGATCGTGATCGTGCGATCGTGAGCGATCCGACTGTCCGATCTGGACCAATCCTGCAGGACGTGTGTCCTAGAACTTGTAGAACCTATAGGAACTGTCAAATCGGAATTTGGAGGTCGTGGGCCCCGCGGGCCTGTGTGACCAAGTTTGGGTAGTTTGACCCTGGGTTGACCGCTAGACTTTTGTTGTAGTTCTATCATCCCAGGAGGGTTAGAATGACCTTAGTGACAGGTCTTGAGCGTTGTTGAGTTAAATGGTTTATA